ACCAGTGGGGCCATGTCGCTTGAATATTATTTTTGGTTTGACCACCAAGATATAATGATGATTCTGTTCCATTTTGAAAAGGGTCTGAGAAAGTGTACAGGTCTAATTATATATACATATTTATACATGTGTATTTTTGTTTATTGTTACATTTTGACATTGGACTTTCTATTAAATAATTTTTAACAGTTGACCTGGTTTTGTTCTTTTTTATGCCTTTCTTTTTCCTGAGTTCTGAGGGAGTTGAGGGGGCTGGGACATGATAAATATCTGCAAAAGATCTTTTGATGTCCTTCCTGTCCCTCCACTGTCTATTTCCCTGTTACTCCTGTGCATAAGGCCTCCTTTCCATTTTTTTAAATATTTATTTGTTTATGCATATGAGAACTGGGGTACAGGCCAGAGGTGTGGGGGTGAAAGGATCCACCAGAGACAGAGTGGGGAAGAGAACAGGCAGACTGACTGAAATACACTGCTGAGGTGGTGAGTCAGGAGAGGTCTGCTGCACCATGTGGGTATCTCCCTGGCCGGGGATCAAACTCATGCTGCAGTGGCTAGGGATAGCCTCATAGGTTGTGTCTTAACCCCTTGCTCCACCAGGGAGGCCCCTTCCTTTCCATTCTTGAAAATTCTTCTGTTCTTGCAGGATATGGGTCACATCCAGCACCTACTTGGAAGGCCCTCAAATTTGTTTTCATTCCTTCCAACCTTTGGGGACAGCCACTCAGTCCCATCAGCTTCTGCAAATTCACAGCTTCGGAGATTTGATGAAATGGCAGGAACAGGCAGTGATGAGAAGTGATGTCATCAGCCTATCAGACCTCTTATGCACCTCCTCTCCCCTCCCCAACATTTGTGAGGCCTTGACAAGTTACTTAGCCCTCTGAACCTTGTGCACCTCATCAGTAAAAACGATACTTTTCCCATGGGTTTGATATGAGGACACCTCGTGGCAAACACTCTCTAAACAACGACTTGTTTCTCAAGGGCTCTCACTCCACCAGCCCACCTTTGGTGACTGCACAGAGCCTAGGGCAGGCACTGGGGTCTCCTGCATAGGGGTCAGGGATGTAAGGGTGTAAGGAGTGCCACTTGCCCTGGCAAGTACAGAGGGAGAAGTATGAAAAAAGAGGCCCGTATCTCAGCCTCTCACAAACTCCATGACTACCTAGCACATTCTGGAATCCGGAAACAGTGGATTCTCCCACTTCACTGGACTTGGAGCATCTATGGACAAGAAATGCACACGCGCACACATGCTGTCTCAGAGCACTTCGTCAAAACATGCCGTCAAAGGCAGTTTCCCTGGGTTCTGTCTTCTCTGTGGCATCGGCCTGTCCACCTCTGATAAGCGCCGGTCAGATCTACCAACCTAGCCAGCGTCTGCTCCTGCCTTTGCTCCTAGGAACAGATTTTCCTCAGGACTTCCTTATGGTGCGGTGGAGAGAGAGAGGGTGGGGCTTGGGGTGGAAGAGATCGTTGGGGAGAGTGGGGCAGGTTAATAACTTTTCCCAAGCATTTTCTTCCAAGTTACAGAACTGGAAGTTCACATTGGCTGCTACATTTTATGGGCTGTCAAACAAGGCCAAAGGCCCAGGTTTTACCCAGAGTCAACCTGGATTCCCAGCTTGTTCTTTCAAAAATAAATGTTTCTCCCAGCAGAGGCTCTCTTGAAGTCACAAAGTCCAGTCAAGTTTTCTGAGTTCTCCCTCCCCAGCCCTGTCCCCTAGTCTCCTGGTTAAAGAGGTCAGAGACCTCAGGTCAAAAAGGAGTCACTCTGAGGAGATGCTGGCACCTGATTCCTGAGCTCTGGCTGGCGACAGCATCCAGCTCACTGATCATAGCTGGAAGGAAGCCTGCATGTGGCTGCCGGGAATTCTCTTGGCCAGAAGCAGGTGCAATGGGCAGTGGCATGGGAGGGAGGGAGGGAGGAAGGAGGAAGCAGGAACCTCAGTGCTCAATGCTGGAGAAGAAATGAGGTTGCCGACTCCAAGTCCCAGGAGTAAGCAAATGCTAAAGCTGGTCCAGGGGGTGGTTGGGCGGAAATGGATGCTTCTCAGGGAATTCCTGGCCACCATCATCCTGCCACTGCCCATCACCATTTCCTGGTAGAAAGCTCCAAGTGTCTGGTGGTGGAGATATGCTAATGTCCTCATCCTCCCCATCAGAACCCAGTTTCTGCCCATAGGCCCTCACCCCTACTTCACCCAACCACGATTATTTTCCTACTTCGGTTCCTGCTGTCCCCTCACCAGGAAAACTCTCACATCTCTCCTCATACTCACAAACTGAACTTCCTTTGAGGTTCTGGTTAAAATTGACCACTGGCAGGAGACCACATCTCATGGCCCCACAGCTTGCCAGTCTTTGCTGCCAAAGAAATTTCCCTTCCAAGAGGACCTCTCAGGGGTAAGGAGGTGAGGCTTGAAACTCAGGAAGTTCTGAAGTAAGACTTGATCTCCAGTGTAAGGCAGGGCCTGGAAATAAGGCCAAGTTCAATTCCCCTGACTGAGCACTAAGCTGCTGCCTCTGACAAGACTGGGCAGAGCCAAGGACAGGCAGACAGAGTGTGGGGAAGCCACGAGGTGATGGAATGTGGGCTCCAGAGTGAGAGTGGAGCCCAGTGTGTAAAGCAAGTGCACCAGAATGCACTTCATAAATAATGTAGAATTATTTCTAACAGGGAAAATTTGGACACAATCCTAATGCCCATCAAAAAGAAAATGGATAAAGAGTGGTCTGTCTTGTATCCACGGACAAACCTCAGAAACAGAAATCCCTGAAAACCACACAGAGGGTCAGTGTAAGGCCACTGACATCAGGTACGTGTTGCATGTAGATACCAACATGTGTCGTAACACACGGGAAAGACAAATACCACCTTCCAGAGCAGGGTAGCGGGAGGGGCTGAGGTATGGGGAAGGTTAATGATGTTGTAGTCTTTGGAAAAATGAGCTGAAGCAAATGTGAAGAAATAGAGTATTTGGACAATATTATCTACCCTCGAACCCTTGAACAAAACGGGTTTGCACTGCAAGTACACTTCAGCAGAATTTTCTCATAAACAGACAACATAAACTTATGGCATCCATGATACAGTGCAGTGCTGAAATGTGTTTTCCATATGATTTTCTTAACATTTTGTTTCCTCTAGCTTTTGTTGTGAGAACACAGTATAGAATACGTATAACATACAAAGTATGTGTTACTGACTATGCTATCAGTAGGACTGCCAGTCAGCTGTGGGCTGTTTATTAGTAATAAAGTTTTGAGGAGTCAAAAGCTATCTACAGGTTTTTGATTCCCAAATTGTTCAAGGGTCAACATGCTCTTTTGTATGCTTGGGACAGTTTGTCATTTTTTTTTAAAGGACGACTAGATTGTTCTGGGCAGCCTTGTGCTGGTGACTAGTGGTGGCCAGTTCAGATTGGGGACTGCAGCCATCACAGGCCCTCATAGCTTGGAAAAACTGTGTCTCTGCTCATAGTGTCAGGTCTTTCTGTCTAGTTTCCCCATACAGATGGCAGATTCCCTGAAGCCCCAGACTGTGGCTTCCCTCATAGGCCCACAGGCTCAACAGTGAACGGGATGGGAACTGGACCACCACGAATATTTTCCCTCCTTTCTGCTCTTGCTGAGACTCCAGCCAGTCTCCACAGGGGTGTCCTAAGTTGGTATAAACCATGCAGTCCATGTGGAAGTCCCTGCAGGGCTGCCCGGCCCTCCGGGATGTCACCCATAGTACCATCCCCTGGCCCATGATAGCTTCCACTAGGTCTCAGAAACTGTGGTCTGAGTGTAGGAAATGTTGGAGAAAAGGGTTGGCAGGTGTGGAGTGAGCCTGGAAGACAAGTGAGAGAAGTCGTATGCCAGACATGGGGACATCCAAAGACTTGGGAACTACATGGTGTGTTTCCAAACATGAGAGGAGAGAGGACTGCCAGTTGCCCTCCTTCTAGAATTTGGTTCCCCTAGGGGTTTTGGCTCAAACAAACGGTACTAACAGTGGATAAATCTAAAGACTGAGAATCTGCCTCCCCAAAAGAAGGTGTTAATTGGCAAAGCTCCCTTATTGGTTGGTTCTAAGTCAGCTTTCATTAATGGACTCTACCTGGCTGCACACCAGAATCACCCAGGACACCTCTCAGACAACTTGATGTCTCAGTCCAGACCTCAAGTGGATGATTCAGGATCTCTGGGGCACCTTCAAGCAGTCCCTCTCCCCCATGACATGAGGCATGGAGAGGGTTCCAGAACTCCCTGTCTACCCTGCACACTACTGAGTTGGACCCCAGCAACAAAACTTAGCAGAATAAACCCTTCTCACGAGTCAGGGAATAGTAAGGTGCAGGTATGTACACACTCCAAGGGACTGTGAAGACTGGGAAAAAGAGACCTTCACATTAACCAGCAAACTCTGTGAGGGGAATGAGCAGGGAAAGGGGGGGAAAATGAGGAGGGACTCTCCAGGAAATGGTGCCCTCCTTGTTAATGTGGGACTAGATTGTCATGGAATCCACCATTCCTGGAAGACCAGGAGCTTAGGCTGGGGAAGGGCTCAGGGCTTCGTCAGACATGATTTTGCTCAAGCCATTTAGAAAGACTTTGACAAAGACATCCTAAAAGGGAAACCTGCTAACCCTGCTGGCCTCACAGGAAATGAACCCTCATACAGAACCTTGGGCAGCAGCCTAAGCTGCTCCTGCCTCACCCTCTTCCTGAACCAGGTGCCCCTCGTCTCTCAGGCACACCCCTCATTGTGGGAAATGCACCAGGGCTAGAGCTCAGCATCCAGGGAATGAGCCCCTTCCTCACAAATGCAAGAGAGGGTCTCTGCCTCTGAGGGCAGAGGCTGCTTATCCTCTCTGTAGCCAAATAAACCCTTAGGGGTGAGATGGGTAGGGTTGTATTACAATTCCCATAAACAGGGCTGCAGCAGTTGATTTTCTGTTAAAAGAAGCTCATCCTGGTAAGTTCTGGAATTGCCAGCTGGTTGTTACCCAGGACACATGCATCTTCCCGCGCAGAGCTGCCAGGTTCATGGCTGGAATTTCAAGCACTTGCTCCAATTGTTCGCAGAGTTCTAATCATTGGTATGCTTGGCGCTTGGGCATTGACCTGACGCTGGGTCCTCATGTCTGCTGCCCTATCAGGACCAGAGAGCCTTGAATATAACCCATACAGAGAGGGGCCAATAAAAAGCCATTGTATAGAAGAATCTGCCACCACCCTGCTCCCAGGGGGTGCTGGCTGCTTTCCCCAGTCTTTGTGTGTCTGCTGAGGGTTCCCCCAAATGTTTCTCAGCAGTGACAAACCCAGGCTGGAGCCTGCAGAGATAGGAGTCTCCCATGGTCAGACTGGAATACAAATGGGATTTTTCAATCTAAAAATCAGGTTAGGTGGCATTTGTTGGGAGGGGCACGTGAAGGAAAAACCACTCTCCAAAATGCCTTCATTCTACCAGTGAAAATTCAGGCCATCAACAAGGCTCTGTCTGTTTTCACTTTCCACCTCCTACTCTCAGGCCTTTGCCCAAAAATGGAAAAAGGGAAAATTTAAATCAAGCTACCCTAAACCCTCTTTTATCCTGGAGATAATCTGTCTGGTATGTGTCCCTCAGCCAAGGGAGCGGGATTCTGGTGCCACAGACCCCTGCTGGCTCCTGCCTCGGACCACAAAGGTGGCCTCAGACATCTCCCCTCACCCATACACACACAACTGGAAGGAAAAAATTTGAGAAATTCCCACCCTCAAGTCCCAGGTGAGATGACTTCTTAGCAAAAGCTGACCAGACGCTGCAGAGTCCACGTCATTTGGAGACGGTGTGTCAAAGGCATCATTTGGTCCCTAACCAACCCAGGCTCAGAAAAGTTGCCACTTACTGAGAAGCAACTAAATGGTCTTTCATGTATCCTCCCAATAAACCATTTAATGATGTGCTGTGCCTCACAGAGATTCAGAAATTTGCCAAAGTTCCACAACGCTAAGTGGCAGAGCCAGGTCAGGTCATCTGATCCAGAGCCTGCCTTGTAACCCTTTGTCCACAGTGCCACTCGTGGGGAGACTTTGGGTCAGCAAGTCATTGTGATTTTGTAACAGGGTCATCCCCAGGGAAAAGGGAGGTTCCAGGATCCCTGCCCGGCCCTGAGGAAGGGTGGAGCTGGGCAGGGAGGGGAAGTAGAAAAGAGGATGAAGCAGAGAGAAGAAGGCTTCCAGAAGAAAACCAGCCATGTTAGTGGGGTTGGGCACACTTGGCTCATGCTCTTGGCCAGACAGGTTTGGTCTCGGCAGGTCATTTGGGATTCCAGGTCGGCAGAAAGGGTAGGACACATTTAAGAATTCATCTCCCTCTTTTCTCCCTGAGTTGTACATTTCCTCATTCCCCTTCCCTTGTAAATAAACCTTTAGTTAACTTTTTAAAAAAAGAAAGAAAGAAAGGAGACAGATTTAAAACCATCAAGATACATCATTATTATCAGGTTTCTTAAAGGAAAAATTAAGAAAAGAATTAAGTATGATTGTACTTCTCTCTGTATTCTGACATTCACTACAACTGAGTATTTTATGTGCATGACAAAGAGGTGTCAGACTGTGGAGAGAGCAGCTAGTTTGAAGTTCTAGCTACTTGTATCACTGGGACAAATACTTCTGCCTTCATCACTTTTCCTCACCTGTATGAAAAAGAATAATATTAAGCACACTACTTACCTCTTAGTTTGAGGATAACATCAGATAATAGTATGATGTCATTAAAGAACTTGAGATAGTTGACAAAGAGAAATTCTAATGATTGTGAAATATAATAAATTGAATGTTCAAGGTTTAAAACAAGAAGACTGGAAGACTGAGAAGAAGATGAAGTGGAGAGAGATGGAGAAAGAAGACTGGAGGAGCCATGTGTTGCGGAGAGATGTGTGAAAAAACTGCACTTGCTTGGACTTGTCCCAGAGACCTTGGGGGGACAAGGAAGGAGACACTTGAAAGAGACAGACACATGCGTCTGACACTTGAAAGAGACCCATGGGGAGGCTGACGATGGCAGCCTTTGATTTTGATCTTGTTCTTTGCCTTCCAGTCTTGCCTGGCCCCTTCTGCCCCTTTCCTGTGGGTCCTCATCTAAAGGCACCTCAGACTTGTGGCAAGACTTTGGGCTTCAGCAGTCCTTTTGGTCAATGCTGTTTGGCTGGGCATTTACCCCTGAGGGGATGCGTAACTTTGGGCGTTTAATTGGAAATGATTTTAAACTACATTCTTTCTTCTCTCTCTATCACACACAAATTGCATTAAAGTTCTGTTCTACTGACACTCTTATGCACTAGAGTATGTTTTGCCTTGATGCTGGCAGATGGCAGAACCCACTTAAAGCAGGCAAGTTTGGAGATCCTGGGGTGTCTCTCATTCTACTGGCTAACGGTTTGGTTACATCCTTTGCCTGGCCTGCCATAGAGACACCGCTCTAGTTTCTTCCCAGTATGACCTATGTTGTGGTATTATTACTAAATTTAAAACTAAGCCCCACTCCTTGCCCAGCAAGCAAGTTTGGGAGGCTTGAGTGAATAAAAGGAGTGGATGGGACAGCCCTGGAAACTGTGCTGATATGCTGATGATCCTGGTCATTAGCCAGGACACACCCAAGACTAATCACCCTAACCATTCAATGCTGCCTGGAGTATCAATGGAGACTGGGGGACTCTCTCTGTGCCTCAGACTTCTCCTGTTTCTCCAGCAGCTTCTCTTAGTTAATTCAATAAATCCACCTTTTCTGTTCTCCACTCTGCCTCTTCTTCCCCACAACCCGGCTTCTCTTCCATCAACTGAGACAGCTGCTCTAAATGTGTCCCACCTGGACCATCCGTCATGGCGGATTCATGGCGGATCCTGTGGCTGTGAGGCATGTGAATGGACACAGCCAGTCCTGCCCCTGGCCCCGCCTCCCAGCACCTACCACTTGGGGTTCCCTTCCCTCCTCCCTTTCTTTCTCTCTCACTGTCTTCCCAAGCTTTCAATCTGTTTTTGGAGCTTTTCTGTTCTGCATCTAGATGACCTGGAGACAATAGGGACCTGCATTGCTCCTTTAATGGAAGTCTCAGAAGGGGTGCTCTCTGCTCCCAGACCACTCTTAAATTTCTTTTTAAAATTTTATTTTATATAATTCTTACATCATTTTTCATTTTTACACAATGTATGCATTTTCGTTTTGGCTATATTCCCCATACAATTCCCACCCCCCTTATTTTGACCCTACCTCCTCCTCTCCCCCCGCACCATTAGTGTGTCTCTGGTTTATAGTTGCTTGTTGATTATGATTTTTTCTTTATTATAATTAGTCTTTTTCCTACTCTCTTATTTAGGTTTCCTAAATTCCTGTTATGTATGAGTGAGACCATCCGGTTTTTTTCTTTTTCTTTCTGGCTTATTTTGCTGAGCCATGATCCCTTCCAGCTCTATCCTTGTTGCTGCAAATTGCATGAATTTCTCTTTTTTGATTGCTGAGTAATTGTAAGGGCAGGTCTGGATACGGGGCAGGTTTTCTGATCCCATGCAGACCCGGTAAAGGAGTAGTCAGAGTCCTCAGTGGTTTTGCAGGTTTTTTATTGGGGTTCACCAGGCATATGGCAGGCAGGGGTGCTGGCTGGGGGCCTGGGAGGCTGGCAGGTCTTTACTCTATCTGGGCTCTCTGGCGTTCGTTCTGCTGCTTCTTGGCTTCTCTTTCGGCTTCGGCTTCGGCTTCTGCTGCTGCTGCTGGTGTCCCGTGACGCCGCCCTTAAAAGCACAGTCTTAGCTCAGCTGAATCCCATCTACCTATGCCCACACCCTATTCCAGGTGCCCGCCACCAGGCATGCATTCAGGACAAGGATCCATCATCTATCCTGATGGCAGAAGGGTAGAAAAGCCTGACATTTTCTTTACCCTACAGTAATATTCCATGGTGTATATGTACCACATCTTCTTGATCCAGTCATCTATTTTTGGGCATTTGGGTTGTTTCCAAAGCTTAGCTATTGTAAACAGTGCTGCTATAAATATAGAGGTGCAGGTGTCCTTTTGAATTAATGTTTCTGTGTCCTTTGGGTAAATACCTAGGAGTGAAATTGCTGGATCATATGGAAGCTCCATCTTTAGTAGGTTGAGTAATCTCCAAAGACCACTCTTGAGTGATCTCTTCCCCTGACGGGTCTGCAGCAGCCCCAAGGCCCTATTGGATCACATCCCCCAACAGCTCTCAGCAAACCAGCCTTTTGCCAAAGACAGACTCGTTCATGTGTTGTCACTGCATTTGTTTGCATTTGCAACATGGTTTATTGACAAAAGAACAATGAAAAAGGGCATCCATCCCCCAAAGGAGGACCTGCTCTGCGCCTATAGTCCTTGGTGCTTGCTGCTGACTGGCTGAAACAGGAGGAGCACATGATGACTAGTAGTCAATCACTACTCACATAACACCCTAAAAAAATGAAGATTCACTTCTGTTTAACATGTAGGAAGCCAAGGAAATGACAGTCCCAAACTCAATAGCAGTATTTTGTGAAGTTCATTGGTAGAGTTAAGAGAGAAGGGGAAGAGTTCATAGGCCCCATATGTAGAAAATAACTTCAATAACAAGAGCCCCCAGACTGGCCTGGGCATAGAAAACCAGCACCCCTGGAGCTAGAGTGTGGGCCCCAGTCCTGGAGTGAGGGGGAAGGACCCAGTCCTGCGGGGAAGGAGACCGATGAAGAGACCTGAAAAGTCAGTGAGCCCATCATCTCACTCTGTGATGGGGTGGCGCTTGGCTGGCCAGCTCCTCCAGGTGTCTCGGGAGGTCCCTGTGAAGCCTGGCTTCTGGCCACGTAGACTGGCTGTCAGCGATGGGCACAGGACCCCTTTGGCACAGCCCCACGAGAACCCCATGCACAGTCATTACAGAGGCTCCGAGAAGACTTTGGGATGTGACTCAGGTTCACAGGTGGGGCAACTGGGCTGGCTCTTCACCTCCCCCCCCCACCCCGTGGGCTACTGGCACTGACCTTCAGTGAGGGCTCACAGGTGGTTTCAGAAACACTTAAGGGGAGTAATCTTCACCTAAGAGTCGGCAGGGAGAGCAGGGTAACGTGGGACTCAGTGCCATGGGGCTGTGTGCTGCCGGCTGCCATGTGGCTAGAAGAATGAGTGTGTCTAGTAATGGAAGAGCACCCCACACTGTAGTCGCACCACTGGCACCCAAGACCACCCTTGTGGGAACAGTTTGACCACCTGCTGACCCAGAAAATGGAAAGCTCAGAGGATCTCCAGGCCCCTTGACCCCGCCAGTGCCTGCACTGAGGGCTTGGAAGCAGTGATCCTATGTGGCTGCGGCAGCCTGTCGCCAAGGTGCCCATTCACTGCCTCTGGTCCTTCCCACCACTGGGTCCTTTCCCCAGAGTCTTGGGCATGGGGCTCTCCAAGCCCTTCTAGGTTTTTAGTTGCTGGGGTCCCGCTGCTGGGAGTGATGGAAAACTTGGGTATGATGGTGAGGGGGTGATGGGGGGCCGCAGGGGATAGTCAGAGGTCAGGACTGATTGTTGAGCAGTGCACAGTGGGATCTGCCTGAGGCATCTTCTGGATGCAGCTGCAGGATTGATTGCTTGGGAACACGCACTCATACTTTCCCTGGAGCTGTGTCTCCTCTTTTAGACAAGATGTCTCAAAGTCAGTTTGCCCACGGACACGGTATTTATGTGCTGCTCTCCATGGACCCACTGTCAAACTGCCCTTTCTCAGTCAGCACCTCAGTGCTACGTAATCAGATGTCACACAGGATCTCCTTCTGCCCTGTCTTATTCAACTCGGTTCCTGTCCAAAATCCTGTTTTCACCTCTGGCTTCTCACTCAGGAGGAGAGAGGCTGCGCAACACACAATCTCTGTGCAGGAAAATAACTGGTTCTGCAGCTGAAGACCATCAGCAGCAGGTGGTAATGGGGCTGGGATGTGTCAGTGCTTCCCAGCTGCCACAGCTACGGGAATTCTCTCACAGCCCAGCTCCAAAACCAAGCCCTGTCCTCCAAAAATCTGGGGGAAATCTTCAACCTCCAGATTGAAGGCAGCTGCAAATGGACATGTCCACAGACACCTATCTCTTCCCAGTACGGCTTGGGCAGCAGCGACCAAGGCACAGCCTGGCAGGGAAAACTTCCCGGGTGTGGGCATTCCAGATCTCAAAACACTTGGTGAATAAAGAAAAAGATCAAAATCAACAAGCAACTATAAACCAGAGACACACTGCGGGGTGGGAGGGGGAGGGAGGAGAGGAGGGATTAGGGTCAAAATAAGGGGGGTGCAATTGTATGGGGAATATAACCAAAATGAAAATGCATACATTGTGCAAAAACGAAAAATGATGTAAGAATTACATAAAATAAAATATATTAAACATAAACAAACAAACAAACAAAAAATCACTTGGCTAAGTGCCCCGTGGATATGGCAGTGGACTGCACAGGTCCACCAGGACTTCTGGATGTTTTTCTGCCACTGGAGACCCCGGCTTTTCTTGGGTGAGCTAGGGGCTTCCTGAGTGGCTGCTGCTCTGCAGAGTAGCTCTGCAGATTTAGCAGGAGCTGGGCAGAGTCTTAGCACTGGTGCTGTACTCCCGGAATTTAAACCCAGCTCCTGAACATTACAAAAGGTTACATACATCATCATCATTATCATCATTTACTATTATTAACTACTACAGTTAGGGAGAGGGAAGAAAGCAGGGAGAAGCTCAGGTGAGCCTGGTGCCACCACAACCCTC